CAACACAGTACGCATGGCTACCAAATGCCACCCTACACAGTTAGTACAATATTAATGACTATATTCCCTATGCTTTACTTTTGCCCACATGGCTTGTTTTATAATTGCAAGTGTGTCCCTCTATCCCCATCACCTGTTTTGCCCATCCCCTCCCTGAAGGCAACCACAGTTTGTTCTCTGTATTTATGAGTCTGTTTCTGTTTTGCTTGTTTTATTTTTTTTATTCCATGCATAAGTGAAATCATATGGTATTTCTCTTTCTCTGAAAAGATCCTATTTTTAAATAAGTAACATTCACAGGTTCTGGGGATCAGGACTTCAGCATACCTTTCTGGGGGACACAATTCAACCCATAGCAGAACTCAGTTGTTTATCCACCCATCCCATCCCCATCTTCCCATCTTAGTAAATGGCACTTCTGTGTGTCCTGCTGCCCGGGCCAGGACCTTGCCTCCCTTTCTCTGCTCCTTCCCTGCCGTGTGACTTACCTCTGATGCCACCTCCAAAATGCAGCCAGATCGGTTCCCACCCCCATGTCCCCTGGCAGGCTCCCCTCTCTCAGACAGTGGAGCTGCATCCTCCACTCAGGTCCCTGCACTCCAGGGGCTTCCTGTCACACGGGACAGAACCCACCCACCATCCCAAGGTCCCCAGGCCCTTGTGATCTGCCCACCCACTCCCGTAGGCTGGCATCCCCCCTTCCCTCCATGCCGGCTGTGTTCTGGCCCATCCGCCATCTTCCCTTTCCTCCTGCTCGTCAGGCTGGTTCCCTGGCCCTGCTCTTGCCCCTGCCTGGGACACTGTCCCCGGGGCTTCCCTCAGCTCGCCATCCCCCTTCCATTAGGCCGCTGCTCCTCCTCAGAGAGAGGCCCCTGACGTCACCCCGCATCCCCTTGTCGTCCACTTAGAGTAGCAGCGTTTAGTCACGAGCTGCTTTCTGGCCTGCCCCCGCCACCTCCAGCCAGGAGCCCCACGAGGAGGGTCTTGTCCCCTGTGCTCACGTAGCTGTGCCTGCAGTGCCCACAGCAGAGCTGAAGCCAGGAAGGTGCTCCAACCTACTGCTGAGTAAATGACTCATGGTCCTGCCAGGAGGTCCTGAGTGTGAGTGAGGCAGCCCGTGCACCATGTCTGCGCTCACAGGCCGGCTGGGCCTCAGACACCCCAGCTAGGTGTTCAGGCCAGCGATTGTGCACGTTGTCAGTGAGGACTGCCGTAGGGGGCTGCTTGCTCGCCTCTGTTCCCTCATCTCCCTGAAAGGGGCCCGATGCCACTGCCCACCTGACCTGCCCATCTCTCCTGGCCAGCCTCTTTCCTGCCATCACCCCCACCCCGGTCTCTGTCCCCACAGCACCGCAGCAAGGTGCTGCTCTGGGCCTGGGGTATGAGCCCCTCACTGTACTCTGACAGCAGCCCTGTGAGGTGGGTGGACCTGCCCCAGCCTCCTGATGGCTGAGCTGGGCGACCCGCAGGCCCTGTGCTCTCGCCATGTGGGCGAGACCCTGATGAGGCATATTCGTTTATTTTAAGTGAGTCACAAGTTTCGACTTTTTCCCCCGGAAAGTCCCTGAGGAACAGATGGATTTACCTGCCCACTGCCCCTGCCTCATGAGACCCGGGACCTAGTTGGTGTTTGGCCCAGGCCAAGAGGAGCCCCAGCCTACAGAAAACCCCAGGGTGTGAAAAAGGGAGGGTGACATGGGGCCTGGCACAGAGGGGTGGGGACAGGAGAGACAGCCCCTTAGCGAAGCAACAGGAACGCTGATTCCTTGCAGGTGGGGATGCAGAGTGGGGCAGCCACTTTGGAAGACGGTTTGGCGTTTCTTACAAAACTGAGCGTCGTCTCACTGTACAATTCAGCAGCTATGCTCCTCGGTGTTTACTCAGATGACTTAAAAATGTATCTGCACAGAACCCTGCATGCAAATACTTATAACACCTTTATTCATATCTGCTAAGCCATGGAAGCCACCAAGATGGCCCTCAGCAGGGGAATAGGGCATCCCGACGATGGAATAGTATTCAAGGCTAAAAAGAAATGAGCTATCCAGCTATGAAAAGGCATGTGGGAGCCTTAAATAAATGTTGTTACATGACGGAAAAGGCTACGTACTGTACAGTCCCAACTGTCAAGATTCTGGAAAAGACAAAACTCTGGGGACAGTAGAAAGATCAGTGGTTGCCAGGGGTTAGGAGGAGGGGTGAATAGGTGGGGCACAGGATTTTTAGGGCAAACTACTGTATATGACACTGTAATGGTGGGTACGTGTCATTACATATTTGTCCACAGCCATAGAAGGCACCCCACCAAGGGTGACCCCTGAAGTAAACTATGGACTTTAGTTAATAATAGTGTGTCGATGGTCGGTCACCGTTGTAATGAATACGGCACTCGAATGCCAGGCTTTAGGAAGAGGGAAAGTGTAGGTGAAGAATGGAGGAGATGGATGGGAACTTGGTATTTTCCATTCAGATTTTCTGTAAACTTAAGACTGCTCAGAAAAATAGTCTATTACTTTTTTTTAAGTAAAAAAAATATACATATATGTATAATAAAATAAAAAAAGAAGAGGGGCAGGCCAAATGCCTACAAGGCAGGGCTGGACACACACAGGGCGGGTTCTGGCGAGGGAGCCCCTGCAGAATCTCTGGGCCCTCGGGGACGTATCCTCAGATCATGCGGACCTAGGCATGGGTCAGGCAGCAGACCCAGCCCCTGTGGAAACCCTCCTGTTCTTTCTGCTTGCTCCCGTCTCTGAGGGGATGCCCACCCGGCTCTGCTGACCTGAAGAAGGAGGAAGGGACAAGAAAAGGTCTCAGGTCCAGAGGCAGCTGAGACATGAGGGTGAAGAAGCACCTCCCAGGCTCTGCTGAGGGGTTGTTAGTGCGGTTCTAGCCCCAGAACCACCCCCCAACCTGAGCAGAGAGGGGACCCCAGCAGAGGTGGGGCCTGGTAGTTGAGCCCAGCTGGGATTGACGAGGCAGTAGCAGGGCCCACCAGGCTCTTTGGTTTACTGATGACAATGAACCTCAGTCTCTTCATCTGGGGACAGAGTTAGGCTGCGTACCTCATAGAGCTGTGGGTTTTAGAACTCGTGTCCTCAGTGTCTTGCACAAAGCTGTTGTAGAAGCAATGTCAGGAGTGGAGCGGGTTTTAACGAGGGAGCTGGTCCCTTGCAGCACATGTCAGGCTTAGAGACGGCAGAGAAGGTAGCATTTAGGAGTCACAGTCAGGTTCAGATAAACATGGTAGATAAACACACACATGTATTTTCACTCTTTCCTGAACCTCCACTAGAATGACAGTGAAGGTTTTTTTTAAAAGATTTAAGCCCTCAAGGACAGAGAACAGAGGAGACAGGAGCAATAACACAGGGAATCCAGCACAGCCTAGTCCACAGGCAATATTGCAGAAGCAGAGAAGCCGTCTGTGTTCCCCTCAGAGCCCCAGAGGTGGGGAATCAGCCACATGGTGGCCTCTGGAAATGGGCTGACAGTGGTTCCAGAAACGGGAGAATCAATCAAAATATCGTCAGGCTCCCCATCCCCACCTCTGTCCCCTGTGCTCACTGTCCCTCTAGCAGATGGCTGGGACAGATGCTATCTCCAGAGAGGGTCACAGAGAGTCTTTAGACTGGGGAATCTCTGGCAGGTTGGACTGAAATAGGGGGATTAAAAGAGCATTTCTATCCTGAAGGCTGCTCCCTCGCTCAGCTTTCTAGAACTTTCCCTGCCAGCTTCTCCCTCACTCAGCTTCTAGAACTCTGGCTGCTAAGCCTGTGCCCTCCACTGTGGCCTCACAGCAGCGGGGCCACAGCCAGTCCAGCCTGGAGCTGATCACATGGCTCCAGCAGTGTCTTCAGAAAAAACTTGACGGAATTCCCAATACCTCTGAACACCCTGGCAGGAGATGTAGACAATTGGAAGAGTTTGGGGTTAAATTAGTGATAAGTTCACAAACGCCAGGCAAACACTCATAAAAGAAAGTTACTATCTGTAGGGAGACATCTGTGCCAGCAAGGAAAAGTGGCTGTGATGTGCCGTGCTCAGCTGTGGGTAGTGCTTAGTCACACTATTGCAGACCCAGGTCAGAAGGAAGACACTGCTGCAGGCAAAGGGTTCAGAGCCGGGAAGGATGCATGAAGCAGTGGCGACCGGGTGCCAGCCTCCCCTTCCATGCTGGGAAGGCGATGGATGTCACCCAAAACTGAAACATCAGAATCAAGGAGCAGCAATATGTCATTTAGAAATGTGGAGGGAAATACCCAGGAATCCAGTTCAAAGTGTTTGCTTCGGGGGAGAGGTGGAGAAGCTTTTAGAGCTTTTTAAGGCTTTGAATGTATTTGACTCTGTAATCTATGTACCTATATGTAACTTTGATTTTTAAATCTTTAAGCTATTTTTTTATAGTAGTGTTTGTTCACACCTATTGGACTGTCTTGAGTTTTTTTAATTGTGGTAAAATATACATTAAAATTTATCTTCTTAAACATTTTTAAGTGCACAGTTCAGTAGTGTTTATTCTGTGCAACAGATCTGCAGATCTTTTTCCATCTTGCAACACTGAAACTCTGTTTCTCTTAAACAATAATGCCATATTTTCCCCCTCCCCTCCAGCACCTGGTAACCACCATTCAAACCATTTTTAAGGATAACATTTACTGAGACTTTAGTATGTGCCAGATACTGCATACATACATAATGCTTAACCCTCACAAAATTCTTTTTATTGACGAAGCTCAGAGAGGTTAGGTAACTTGCCCAAACTCACACAGCTTGCAAGTGGCAGTTTGAATGCAAGTCTGTCTGTCTATCTTGAAAGGTCTTGGATGGGAGAGCCCTGGTTATACCCATATCCCTCCTGGCTGCCCTTGGGCCTCTCCCTCCCTTCCCTCTCCTCTCCCCATTCCCTGCATACTAAAAGGGAGGGATGGGATGAGCCTGGGCTCCTGGGATGGGTGTCCACTGCATCCTCTGGACCTGGTGTCTCTGTGTGCCAACAGGTTGGTGGGACAAAGACTGGCGTGGTGCGGTACGTGGGGGAGACAGACTTTGCCAAGGGCGAGTGGTGTGGTGTGGAGCTGGACGAGCCCCTTGGGAAGAATGATGGGGCGGTGGCGGGCACCAGGTATGGTGGGCTTCCCCCAGGGAGTGGGAGGGGGCTCCTCTTCACCTGGGATGGGTGCAGGGGATGGGGATGGGGAACCTACAGAAGCCAGTGTCGAGCACCTGGAGGACTGTGCCAGACCCTACAGAGTAGATATGTCTTCTCCCTGCTGTCCCAGCAGCCCACTGAGGCAGGTGGTGGGAATATCATCTCCGTTTTACAGATGAGTTTACAGATGAGAGAATAGAGGCCAGAGAGGTCATTGCTCAGGGTCACACAGAGAGTCATGGGTAAGCACTAGGGAAGTTATCTGTCCTTGTGTCCCTTCTCCATGTCACGTGTGGCTAAGTCAGGTGGGAGCCCTGAAAAAGGAGCTTCCCCTGGGTGGCACAGGAAGTAAGCAGGCTGTGCCTGGTCTTCTACAGCCAAGTCGTAACTGGCTTCCAGGTTTCATGCTGTCTCTGATTAAAGGGAGGAATGCTGGGTTGAGAGTGTCTAAGGCTGTGTTCTGCTCACTGGGGACAGGAGTGTGATGCGATGGGTGAACAAGTGTCTGTGAGGGACGCGGGTCAGAGGCAAGGGGGCCTGAGTGCCTGCGTGGCTGTCCCTAGGCTAGATTCTGGCTCAGGTGAGGCTGTAACAGCTCTGAACAGAAATGGTCATGGCAGTACAGGCCAAGCAACCAGCAGAAGAGCCAGACTTGAACAGGGCCCCGAAGGAAAGTAGCGTTTGCTTTCCGGAATAGGCTTGAGGAGAGTCTGCTAGCCAGGGGGCAGTCCTGGCAAAGTCTTGAATGCTGGAAGGGGCGAGGTGGAGTGGCAGTTTCAGTGTGAGTCAGAAGCAACAGGAGTAGCTCCTTTGGTCCAGCATGGAATCCGTGACCAGATGGGTTTGTGAGCAGACCATCCAGAGTTGCCATGACAACACTTTGCCTTCCTGTTTTCAAGATGGATGTTTTTCTCAACTTACTCTTGCTATCAGAATTCAGGCAGGTAGGGTAGCAGCCCCTCACCCCCAGCCCCCAAGGTCTCTCCCTGAGGCTTTTGCTTTTCCATGCGGGAGCTCCGTGGCAGAGAGCCTTGGGTCTGGGGGTGCCCGGGACAGGCATGGGAGTGGGGCTGCAGATATGGCTGGAGCCTCTGATTGGTGGGTGTGAGCCAAGTCTAGCAGATCGAGGTCCAGTCCCAGCTTTGCCACTGGGAAAGCTGTGTAACCAGGCAAGTTACATAACCTCTCAGAGCCTAATCTCCTCATCTGTGAAATGTAAATAACAATAGAGTGGTTGGGGATTGAAATGAGCACTCATGGAAAAGGACTGGCACAGATCAGGTACTTGGTAACTGTTATTCCCTCCCCTTCTCCCTAAAAATTTTGCCCAAGGCTGCAGAGACTCTCAGGCCCTACTCACCTCTGTTCCCTTTCTGGGAGTCCCATCTGTTGGTATTGGGGTATGGGTGATGGCTCCCCGAAGATGAGCCTGTCTGCTGGGCTCTGAAGAGGTGGGGGAGGCGGGGGAAGCTCAGGCTGCGGGGCTGTGACCGCAGCGTGGTCTCTCCTGCCTCCACAGGTACTTCCAGTGCCCACCCAAGTTCGGTCTCTTTGCACCCATCCACAAGGTAATCCGCATCGGCTTCCCATCCACCAGCCCGGCCAAGGCCAAGAAGACCAAGCGCATGGCCATGGGTGTCTCGGCGCTGACCCACAGTCCCAGCAGTTCCTCCATCAGCTCTGTCAGCTCTGTGGCCTCCTCGGTGGGGGGCCGGCCCAGCCGCAGTGGCCTGGTGAGGGTGGGACTGAGGAGGGGTGCCCTGGTGTGTGCATGTGTTGGGTGGGTGGTGGGGACAGAAGGATCCAGGTGTCCCAGTCTGCTCTGGCTTGCTGTTTCCAGGCATCCATTAATTTGGGGGTTTTTGAACAAAGCACATGTCTTTTAATAGGGAATATTGGTCCATTTATGTTTATTGTTTTTTTATATTACTAATTTGTCAGCAGCTTAAGCCCTACCCTGGGAGTTAAGGAGGGTCATACAGATGCAGGGCAGGCAATATAGGTACAGGGTAGGGGGTCCAGAAAGGCTGCCACAGCCACCCTGGGTAAGAGGGAAGGTGAGGCAGCCCTGTAGGCCCAGGACCTTCTGTGCAACTCAGTCTAGGATGGGAAGTTTCCCCTGGTCCAGGAGAAGGTGGCCCAGATAAGGGAGCCCTGGGCACTGTGACTATCAGGGGCTCTGACTCCTGGGCGGGGGTAATTTCCCTGAATCTCAAACATTACAATTGCCCCTGTGCAGCGTCTCAGGCTCGGGCAGGGGAGAGGCAGGTCCCTGGGTGTTGAGACACTTGGGCTCTGCACCTGCTGGGTAGCCGTGGGTTATCTGGATGGTGCTGCAGATCCCTGAGGCCTGCCTGCACCCACACCTTCCTGCAGCTCACGGAGACCTCTTCACGCTATGCCCGCAAGATATCAGGCACAACTGCCTTGCAAGAGGCGCTGAAAGAGAAGCAGCAGCACATTGAGCAGTTGCTGGCCGAGCGGGACCTAGAGCGGGCCGAGGTGGCCAAGGCCACGAGCCACATCTGCGAGGTGGAGAAAGAGATCGCCCTGCTCAAGGCACAGCATGAGCAGGTGGGTGGGCACACAGGGCAGCATGGATGCCCAGAGGGCCCCAGCGGCCTCCACAGGCCAGGCTTGTAGGTCACCTACGCTCAGAGAGAACATGGGGTGTGCAGAGAATCCTAAGATGTTCATCACCGACACTCCTCCTCCTTTCCAGAGATAGCCCTCAGGTGCCTGGCGAATTCCCTCCTGATGGACCCGGAACCTGGATACATGAACACATGGGTCCTGCTTGCTCCTACTTACTAGAGTGCGAGCATTTTCTAGGTCATGGAAAATTCTTCCTCGTTTTAGCGGCTGTGTTGCCATCCCTCACGGGCTGTGTCCATGGAGACACAGCCAGCCCCCTGCTGTGTTACTCACTTTTTCTAAATAATGCTCATGGACACAGTTTTTGTATACAGCTATCCACATTTCACACTGCCTTTCAGGCAGGTTCACGGGTTGGGTGTCAGGGCAGGAAGCCCTCACCCATGGTCTGGCTCCTGCCGCTCACATGGCTGTCTTCCCTGATGTTTGTCTCGCACGTGAGAGTTCCCACCTGGGCCCATTCCCCGCTTGGAGCCCGGCTCCACCTTCCCTCAGGTGCTGGAATTATTAAGGCCAAGCTCACATGTGTGCCATGACAGAGGGCCTCATCAGACTACAGGTCTTAGGTCCTTAGGAGTTGCGGGATATGGCAGATAGTGGGTGCCAGGTATCGGGGACTGGTGGACCTAAGATTCCCACTGGGTGAGGCCAGCCTATGCTCCTGGCATTCAGCTGGGCCTTCCTTCCACCCATCTAGGCCTACAGAGCTGGCATGCCCAGATAGGGCTTGCAGGGGAGTGGGTTCTGGCTCCTTGCACCACCCTGCCTCTCTCCCACCCCTCCCCAACCTGGACCCTGGTCCCCAGGTGGAGGCTGACTTTGTCCTGGCCCTTGTTCGGGGCCCAGTATGTTGCAGAAGCAGAGGAGAAGCTGCAGCGGGCCCGGCTGCTTGTGGATAGCGTGCGGAAAGAGAAGGTGGATCTGTCCAACCAGCTGGAGGAGGAGAGAAGGTATGTCCTGGGAGGACATTTTCTGAGTCTCATTAGTGATGACCACGACGAGCACAGCTTCAGGACCAGCAGGCGCAGGTCCAACTCCTGCCTCCCCCGTGTGCTGGCTGTGTCACCTGGACTTAGGGACATGAGCTTTGTGGGCCTCATACTTCTCACCTGCAAAGTGGGGTGATGATGCCCAACACTGTAGGCTCTTGGGAGGACTTACAGGATAACCCAGGCTAAACAGCCAGCCTGGTGCTGAGCACGTGGGACATGCCACTTCTGCCCGCTGCTTTCCTTCCTTCCTGCAAGGGGTTCACCGTTCTTGTCCCACCCAGCTCGTGCAGTAGTATCTCATGAGAATACCCAAGGTAGGGGGTCCCCTCTCATGCCAGGTAGTCCCAGGGAGACATGCACAATGTGAGTGCCCATGGACCAGGTGTGTCCACGGAGCATGCCCTCTGGGTCTCCTGTGAGGTTCCAGCTCTGTCCTAAAGTTTCGTTCCCATTTCATGGGTATGGAAACTGAGGTTCATAGAAGAAGCAGCAAAAAAACACCTGAAGCACCTTGCGTCTTGGTGTCGGCTCTCATGCTGAGTAGTTTACCTGCATTGTCTCTGGAGCATACAATAAGGCTGGAGACAGGTATTACCCCCATGCTACAGACGAGAAAACTGAGGCTTAGAGCAGGGGAGGGGCTTGGTGGTAGTGATGCTGGTTCTTTCTGCTCTGCCCTGGTGGCTAGTGGGGACTGTGGTTCCCTCTGTGAGGGGACCCTGGCCTTCCTTGGTCCTGGGTCACCCGGTGGGATGCAGAGCTGATGGGACAGTTTCCCTTGGCCCAGGAACCTCTCTCTATCTGTGAGCTGCTACACGGATTGCTGCGGCTCCCTCCCTCCCCCATGCAGCAGGCAGCTCCCATCCTCAGCCCCATCTTGGGTCTGTTTTGGGCTTTCACAGGCTGTTGTTACCACCGTCTGACTCAGGGAGAGTAAGGCTTATTTGTGTTTGCCTGAGACAGTCTCATTAGGGCCCACACATCTGGTTCCCATGGCGACACCCCTGATGCTGACAGACAAAAACAGATCTTTAAGACTGTGGGGGTTGCTTTCCAGAAGGGGCTGGGTGCAGGTCCCAGCATTGCCCTGACATACTGGGTGACCTTGCGCAGGTCACTTACCTTTTCTGGGCCTCAGTTTCCTCGTCTGTATGCTGGGAGGTTTCAGGAGACCTCAGTAAGACCAGCTTTGTGAGCTGTCATGTGCCTGGCTCTCCTCTATGTGCTGTCTTGACACATGGGTGGGTGAATATGTCTCACTGCAGCAGGGCATTGGGGGCCCTCCACACAGGGAGCAGCCCAAGGGGTGGGGATGGGGGTTCTGGCCCCAGATTTTGAGGGGAGGGGATGAGAGCAGGGTCAGCAGGGAGGAAGTCCACCCTCCTTCCTTCCCTCCCTGAAGACTGTTGCATGTGACAGTGTCTGTTCCCTGCAGTGATGACAGCGGGACTGCCACTAGCATCACTGCTTCCATTTACATCCACTCTGTCATTTGTCCCACAACCACCCGAGGCAGGAAGGATGCTTCATGAAACACTCCCATTCTGGAGATATTGGTGGTCTCTGCATAGAGCACAGGTCCAGAGTTGGGGAGCTGGAGGTTTCCAGGAGGCTCTGCTCCCATCAGTCACGGGACCCTAGGACAGTGCCTTCTGTGTGGTCTGAGCGTGGGCTCTGGGCCCCTCTCAGCCGTGGCTGACATGGGGAAGCCTATCACTCTGGGTTCAGCTGCTCAGCCCCCTCTCCCCCTGCAGGAAGGTGGAGGACTTGCAGTTCCGAGTGGAGGAGGAGTCCATCACCAAGGGAGACCTAGAGGTAAAGGTCAAAGCCCCAGCACCTTGCACCCATCCTCCCACCCTGACACATACACCCCACCCTCAGCTGGCTTGGCACCCCAGGCCCAGCCCTTGCAGGGCAAACAGCTGTAAGGTCCAGGCTGCAACTTTGGTCCCCTGGGAGGAGTCTGTGGGGATTGCAAGGGAGAAATAGGGAAGGGTGGTAAGGTCAGACCCTAGGAGAGGGTGAGGGGTGGGTCAGGAGACACTCTGGTGTCAGAGGTGGGAATGGCTTAGCTCCAGGAGCCCAGAGGGGCCATGCTTCTTGTGATGGCAGCTGGGTGGGATGCACCAAGGGTATCCCTAGGGCTGGGCCTGAGGACACAGTGGCTGGATACCCCTGTCCCTTCTTTGCTGGCAGTAACCCTAAAGGTGTCCCTGGGGTCCTTTGTTCATCTTGGATTCCAGGTAAAATTGTGGCTGGCAGTACCTTGGTGTTGAGTCACAGAACTGGAAGAGGGAAAACAGGCTCAGAAAGGCAAAGGGACCCACGCAGTCACGGGGCACGGCAGCTGTACGGGGGCAGGACCTGGGATCCTGACTGCTGTGGCCGGCCGGTTGGAGGGCCTTCTCAGTCACACCTGGACAGGTGGACTGGGCACAGGTGGACCTTTCGTTCTGTCCACCCCACCCTTTCTGAGCTGAGGGAGGGGGGTGCACGCATCGATAAGTAAAGCACCTCCAACCTGCCCCCAGCCCTCCAGGGAACTGCAGGTACCACAGGGCCCATGAAGCCACAGTTGAGTGGCAGGAATGCCTCCCTGCTCCCTGGGCAGTGACGAGGGACAAGGGCTCCTGAGCTGTCAGATGGGGCAGGGGACAGGGTTCAGTCCTTTTCCACATGCTGGCTCAGCACTGCCTGGCCTTGGGCGGCCTCTTCCCTTTCCTGGCCTCAGTTTGCTCATCTGTAAAACGAGGAGGTTGACTCGGTCAGTGATTGTCCGACTTGAGAACTTATCACCTAGAGGCCTTGTTCACACACACAGTGTTGATGCTGGGCCTGGCCACAGAGCAGCTGTCAGCAGGGCTGGGTGGAACCTGAGAATCTGCATTTTAACAAGTTCCCAGGTGATGCTGGTCTAGACAGCACACTTGGGGAGTCATTGCACTCAATCATCACTGAGCTCAGATCGGAAATTACCGTTTCTGATTTTGTGAAAGAGCCTCATTAAGAGCCCATGACTTCAGTGCCCAGCAAATCTGTGGTTGTCCTGTCCCCGGACAACCCTGGCTCGGGGAGGGACATGTGCAGTCTGTGTGGAGTCACTGCCAGCTGCCCCTGTTGGAGCAGGTGTGGCTGCCTGAGCTTCAAGGACAGATGTCAGGCCATAACCCAGCGTTGGAGCCCCAGCTCAGCCTCAGGATGCTCTACTGTATGTTTCCGGTCACGCGGTTGCTTTTGGCTGGCTTCCCACTGGGTGGCTGTCCTCCTTCAGGGTTTGGGGTGGACTTCGGCAAAAAGCGCCTGCGGTTGCAAGGAATAAAGACTTCTGCCAAGTCCAGTCATGGGCTTACTGAGAGGCTGCAGGGAAATCGCACAGGCAGTTCAGGGAACCAGAGCGAGAATGGCATCAGGAACCATGCCTGCTCTCTGCTCTGCTCAGGGACCACCTCTCCTCCTGACTTGTGGTCAGGCTGCACATCTGTTTGTCTCTCTTACTGTATCTACTGGGCTCTTTGCACAGTTGCTCCATTCTGTTCCCCACCCCCCTCCTGGCCCCATCCAGGCTCAGGCACCCACCATCTATCTGCTGTCTGTCCTCTGGACAGAGTCTGATTGGTCCAGTGGGCTGGCTGGCTTTGGGTCACGTGTCCTCCCAAGATCCAATCAGCCAGCTGGGAGCAACAGTGACAGATGCCTAAATCCGTCCTAGGGCAGTAGAGTCCTGTTGCTCCGTTTTATTGTGACCATATTCATGGCAACCAGAAGGCAAATTGACCCAAGGTACCACTCATCCCTGCCTATCTTAAAAGTTAAAAATAAAACCCAGACCGCCTCCTTGAGCTCCTGGTCCCCCTCCAGTTATGTGGTCCCATCTCCCCACTTGTCCCCCTCCCAGCCTCCCTGCCACTCTGCTTGGGGTGCCCATTCCAAGACTTAGACTCCTTCCTGACCACTGAGTGTCAGCCTGTCTGAGGGCTACATCTCGGCCCATTTGCTTCTCGGTTTGCCGTCCCTCTGAGAGCTTCCAGACTGTTAGTTATCACATGCCCTTTATTAGCCCGTGATACCCTCTGTTCCCCACCCTGCCCTCAGACCTGAGCTCCCCACTGGCAGCCCATAGGTCATCTCCACCTGGAGGAGCATATGACAGGCCCCTGTAAATTACAATGGCTTACAGCAATACAAATTTATTCTCTTCCAGTTCTGGAAGCCAGAGGTCTGAAATCAAGGTGTCAGCAGGGTTGGTTTCCCTGGGAGTCTCTGGGGCTGAATCTATCCCGTGCGTCTCTCCCAGCTGGGGCAGGATGGCTGGCCACCCTGGTGCTCCTTGGTCTGGAGCTGTATCAATCCTCTGTTGTCACATGGCCTTCCCTGCATGTTCTGTCTCTGACACAACCTTTTTACAAGGACACCAGTCATGGGATTAACGGGCCCGCCTTATGCAAAGACCCTCTTCCAAACAGAGCCACATTCTGAGGTTCCAGGTGAATATGAGATCAGGGGATTCTGTTCAACCTAGTACAGCCTCCCAAATGTGACCTGTCCAAAACAGACCTCTCAGCTTGTGGCTGCTCCCCAACACTGCCCCTCCCCTCCATCCTATGCACCTCTGTAATCAGCCCCACAGCCCACACAGATGTTCATGTCCATAACAAACTCATCAAACTTTCCCTCATCCCTCCATCGGAAATCCTCTTGACCCTGCCTCCACATCATGTTCATCCCCATGGCCACCTTCCCAGGCCAGGCCTCAGCAGCAGCTTCTGTGTGGCCCCCTGTGCTGTCTTATTCCTCCATGATCCTTCTCCACACTGAAGCCCAATAGCTTTGTAAAAAAAACCTTTTTAAGTTTTTAATTGTGGGAAAATTTGAACCTACACATAAGTAGAGAGGAAGTAGAGAGACAAGCCCCATTTGCCTGTCACCTAGCTTCAGCCATTACCAGCTCATGGCCAATCTTGTTTCAGCACTTCCCCCATCCCCAACCGCTCCCCTGTAATTGTGAAGCAAACTGCAGACATCATGGGTCAAATCTCTTAAACTCAGGTCCTGCCTCTTCCCTGCTCACACATCTAGAACTACCATCCTGAATAAGCTCAGGCTCTGTAGAGTGGCCCAGAGCGGACCCGGAACACCTCCCTGCACACTTCTCCTCCAGTCATGTGGGGCTCCTCTCTGCTCCTGGGACATCCCAGCTCTGCCTGCCTCTGAGCTTCCTTGGTCAGCTAGCTGGTTCCTCCTCCTTCACGCCTCACCTTAAATCGTGTCTCTGAGGGAGGCCTTCACTGCCTCTTGGATTTAACCTCCAGCCCACCTGCCCCCATGTGTGCCATTCCTAGCCAACATCACAGTCTGAAGTTGCCCCCAATAGCCATTTATTGTTTGCTCCCCTCCCTGGAATGTCAGCCCCTTGGGGATGAGGACCCTGTCTGTCTTGTTCACCTTTGTGTCCGCAGTGCCAGGACAGGGCAGGAGGTGCTCCTCCAGGAGTGGGAAGCCCGCATCACAGGCCGGGGACAGGTAGTGTGGCTCCTGGGTGGGTGTTAGCCGCGTTGCATTGTGAAGACACATGGGCTGCCTCTGGTGTCACACAAGTAGGGAGGTCAGGTAGCCACTTTAGACTTGATAGCATTGGGGTTTTGTTGTTACTTAATCATCCAGAGTTTTGTGTTATTCTGTTAGTTAAACAGTGCCTCAGTGTTATTTGTATTTGAATACAGAGAGCCGGCTTTATGAACTCAGGATCAACCATTTGTTGATGTGTGCAAGGGAGGCCTGAAGGGACATCAGGAGGGTACCCTGTGCCTCTGACCTGCGGAAGCCCCTAGTGAAGTTGGGGAAACTGCTCCCCCAATTAATTAATGATACCAATTATCTGAGCCGTGTCCCCAGGCGGTGGCCCTGTGCTTAGCCAAGGAGTAGACACAGTGTCTGTGAGGAAAGGGAAAGAGCTACAGGCCACAGGCTTGACAGAGCTTCCAGGATGTGAATGGGGTCAGGGGAGCCAGGGGTCTCCCACTTCAGGAGCCCCCATCATTGCTCTGGAAACCCCTACCTCCCCTCCTTGGAGTCAGGCTAGTTCAGGGGCAAAGGACCTGAGTTTCAGGCCTAGTGCTACCCAAAGTTGCTGCATGATTCAAGCCTGAGGCTTTGTCCATGGAGGAGCTGTGCTCCCGTGAGGCAAGCAGTTATCTGAGCCTTGTCCCCAGGTGGTGGCCCTGTGCTTAGCCAGGGAGTAGACACAGTGTCTGTGAGGAAAGGGAAAGAGCATGGTGGCCCCCACTCCTCACGCCCAGAGAGGAAGGCCAAATTGCCCACCCACCTACAATCTAACCTTTATGGCTCTTTCCCACCAAGCTCCTATTGCGGGGCTGCTCCCTAGCACCACAGGATGCTGCCCTCTTGAGAGTGAGAGAACCTTTCTAGTTGCTCCTTCAGGAACATTCACAGAAATAAGATCATAGGCTAAAGGACATAAACACCTGCCCAGTTCTTTCTGAACTGCAGGAGCATTTCTCTGACAGGCTTACCCTGCCACCGTCGCCCTTGTTAGCGCTGGGGCAGGGTGGGTGCTCCTGTCTCACACGTGCCGTGGGCCTCAGTCTGCCCCTTCAGGACTGCCACGTGGATTTGCTTTCAGCTCGTTTCTCCTGGGTGGGGACAGGACCGCAGGAGGCCGAGGAGGCTCCTCTGGTGCTCCCCACGAGGAACGTGGTCTCCAGTCCTCAGCAACCTGCTGTCCTCACCAAGCCATTACAGGAACCCAAATGCCAGTCCAGATGCCCTTAGAACCACGGGCTCTGTTAGCCAGTGAAGTGGGTGTTGTGAAGCTGGGACAAAAGTGTCCTTGTGCTCCTGTGGGCCTGGGGCAGGGCGGTGGGAGGCACAGCTGGGCCTTTACCAAGGAGGCCAGGCCGGGAGAATAGTGATGCTGCGGGCCTGGTTTTGAAAACCTTCTGCTCAGTCGGTTTTTCCTCGTTTAGCACAGGCCTGGGAGCCAGGAATCCTGGGCGCACACACTCATCCATCCATCCTGGGGGTGTCCTGAGTGCAGATCCTGTACTCAAAATGAGAAACAGCCCAAAGGCTCCCTGATAGGTAGCAGGGCCCCCTGAGGGTGACAGAAGGGATCCAGATGCCCTTTGTCACCCTCTCCCGTCCCAGCAAACCCAGCCAGGACCCAGCGTTGGCGGCAGGCCCAGCCCGCCCCACTCCAGGGCCTCCTCTTTCCTGAGCCACCTCTTTTCCTGGACCTGCTCTCCTGTCTTGTTCACGGAAGATGACGCCACCTCTCTCTCTCCCTCTCTCTCTCTCTCCGGCTTCCTCCTCCCTGTGCCCCTCTCCCCCGCCCCCACCTCCCACCGCCCGGGCGCACCAGACCCAGACGCAGCTGGAGCACGCGCGCATTGGCGAGCTGGAGCAGAGCCTGCTACTGGAGAAGGCGCAGGCCGAGCGGCTGCTCCGAGAATTAGCCGACAACAGGGTAACACGCTGCCGCCGCCCGCCGCCGCCTTGGCCCCTCCACGCCCCTTTGGCTTCTCTGTCCTATTATTTTCCGCCTTTGGCTGCCCTCCTCATTGTTTTCTCCTTTGGTGCCCCTTCCAGGAGGGAGGTCGCGGGTTAGGGACGTGCTTAGGCCTCACTGCCACATGGTACTTGCTGAGGGGAGGGGTCTTCACTGGCCAGCTCCTGGTCCCACTGGCTGGGAATGTCCTGTGAGACCCTCCCCTTCCTCCCTCCCCACCCATTGCCTTGATGGGCTTTGTCATGGCCAGAAATCGGAAGCCTCTTGGGCACATTCTGCCCCAGATGTGGGCAGGCATGGGGACAGCCTGTCCATGCCTGCCTTCTCCCCAGGCTGGGAAGTCAGGGACCACAGACCCAGGTCTCTCTAGCCCAGGGGCTCTTAAATATGGTGGTAGGAGGGGCCAGCCTGAAGGACATGGGGCTCTGTGTCACCCTAGGGTCAGGCTATTAAGATACAGTGGGTCAGGGCATGGGTCATAGGCCGGGGAAGCTCTGCTCTGGGGTGAGGTGGGAGTAAACCAGAACCTGGTTCTGAGTCCAGGCTCTGCGCCCAGCTGACCCCTTCATGTGCCAGGGCAGGCCCCCTGTGCAGGCACATACATCCAAACAGCTGCCCAGCCCTGCCCAGCACATAGCCCAGCTGTAGTTGTCTTGGCAAAGCAGCTAAACAGCCAGCAAGCAGTGATTGGGAAAAACCACCACAAACAGCATGTGGCTGGGAGGCGGGCAGCTGTCAGTTTCTGTAGGTCGGACTTAGCCCATGAGCGAATGGTGCATGCTCTGGTATCTGGGTCCCTTTGCATGCACTGGCCATTGCTGGGTGGCAGGGGTATGTTGTGCAGTACACATGTGTGCATGAAGGCTGCTTGCAGAAACTGATCGAGTGGCGGTACACAGGCGTTAGCCCTCCACACGGGCATGTTGGGCTAGGGTTCAACCTGATTACAAAAACAAAAACAGGTTTACTGAACTCTAAAGGTCACTTTCAGAAACAAAATTTTTTAAGCTGGTAAAAGATTTAAAACTTTTAAATATATTGCTTCCAAATCTATGGCCATTGACATGGTCAGGATGGGGTTTTAGAGGATGAAGCTGCTGATCTCATGGTTTTCCAACAGAAGGTGGGTCTGGGAGCACAAATTTTGTTCTGCTTTAGGTACTAAACTCTTCCTTGTCCACACCCTCCAAACGGCCCCTGTGACTTAACCCCTCTGTCTTGGGACCTTCCAGAAGCAGGACAATGCAAAATTCCCTGTCATCTCTGCTCTTTAAAAATAATATGAACCTAGAGAAAGCCATAACAGCTGGTTTGTCCAAGCCACCTTGGGCAGCAGGGAAAGCTGACTCCTTGAATCACTGGGGTACAAGCCAGGGAAGTCTTCCTGGAGGCGGTGGCCAGGAAGGCCACAGACAACCGGCACTCAGGTGGAGGTGGGCACCCTTCCCTTCCTGTGGCCTTCCCCCACTGGGGCTGGGGCCCTTGAGTCGGGAGGCCCCGCCTTGCCCCTGTTGAGTCCTCAGACAGCTCACTGACCCCAGCCTTCCTCTCTCCCTGGTAGCTGACCACAGTGGCCGAGAAGTCGCGGGTGCCGCAGCTGGAGGAGGAGCTGACCCTGCGGCGCGGCGAGATCGAGGAGCTGCAGCAGTGCTTACTGCACTCGGGCCCGCCGCCCGCCGCCCACCCGGAGGCTGCCGAGACGCTGCAGCCACGGGAGCGGCTTCTGTCGGCCAGCAAGGAGCACCAGAGGGAGAGCGGGGAGCAGTGCTGCGGGACAAGTACGAGAAGGCCCTGAGGGCCTACCAGGCCGAGGTGGAGAAGCTCCGGGTGGCCAATCAGAAGTATGAGCAGGAGGTGGTGGACCTCAAGGCCAAGGTCCAGCAGGCCACCAGCGAGAAATGGGGCTCATGGACAACTGGAAGTCCAAGCTGGACTCACTGGCCTCAGACCACCAGAAGTCCCTGGAGGACCTCAAGGCCACCCTGAACTCAGGCCCGGGTGCCCAGCAGAAGGAGAACGGAGAGCTGAAGGCCGGGATGGAGGGCATCAAGATGGAGCACCAGCTGGAGCCGGGCAACCTGCGGGCCAAGCGCAGCATCGAGACGGCCATGCACATGAAGGAGAAGGAGGGCCTGCGGCAGAAGCCGCAGGAGGCCCAGGATGAGGTGGCTGGGCTACAGCAGCACTGGTGGGCCCAGCTGGAGGTGCAGGCTGGCCAGCCCCGGCTGGAGCTGCAGGAGGCCCAGGACGGGTGCCGCGATGCCGAGCTGCGGGTGCACGAGCTGGAGAAGCTGGCTGTGGAGTACCGGGGGCAGGCACAGGCCATCGAGTCTCTCAAGGAGCAGATCTCCCTGGCCAAGAGGAAGATGCTGGATTACGAGGTGCTGCAGCGGTCGGAAGCCCAGAGCAAGCAGGAGGCTGAGAGGCTGGGGGAGAAGCTTCTGGTCACCGAAAACAGACTCCAGGCTCTCGAGTCCCTGTGCTCGTCCCAGCACACTGATGTAGGTGGCCACCCCTGCTTCTGGGCTGGGGTAGGGGGACCCATGGGCTGCGTGTGAGGGTCCATCTATGAAGGGCCTGGTCATTTACTGGCTACTTTGTCCCAGCCTGGGGAGGCATTCTCTTTGTCCCCAGGTGCATGCCCAGGGGAGATCAGAGGGTACCTGGCTCAGAGGAGGAGCCCCTCATCCCTCCATCAGTCAAAAGGGCAACTGTGACTGGGGCCCCAAGGTGGTCTGATTGGACCTGGCTGGGACCCCACAGGCCAGGCTGCAGAGAAGAACACCTCGGCACTGAGAACGGGTTTCTCCGACTCCCCGCATCCCTGATTCACCCAGATGTCTTCCTGTGGAGGGCAAGCCCTGTGCATTCCCAGAGGGCCCATCTCCAGCACAAGCACCTGGAGGTGGCCCCCTTTCTGCCAGTCCTAATGAGACTGAGCAACAGTCCAGCAGCCACTTCCTGAGAGTGTGGGCGTCCCCAGAGTGGGCTCTGGAAGGCTAGAGGTGGATGGCCAGAGAGGCTGCTCCCACTAGTACCGGTTTTGCCCCAAATCCGGACGTCTGAGGCCCTGCATAGTGTGGGCTGTGTCCACTCCAGCAGGGCCAGGAAGGGCCTTTGCATGGCTCCTGCCAGGCCACACACTGCCCCATCTCCCCCTAACTCCCACGAAGTTGATATTGGCTCCATAGATGAGCAAACTAAGCCTGTGAGATGAGTAACTTTCCCAGGTTTCTTGCTCATCAATGACAAAGGGCATATCCAGCCTACTGCCGAGGGGCCCACAGGGCGTCCAGGATGACGGTGATCAGATCTTGCCTGAAGGGACACCCAGCAGCATAATCGTGGCTTTCATTCAAGCCCTGGGGCTTGTTGAGCCTGTGGTTCTCCTTGTTCATTTAAACCAGAACTTGGCATCTGAGCAGTAAGTGTTCAGGAGTTCCAAGGGCTGGGTACCTTTTTTGTGAAAGGAGCTCTGCCTGCGTCATACCTCGAGGTCCCCCTGCAGGGGCCTTCTCGCCCACTCCTCCCTGTTTTTAGCCAGTGCTCTGCCAGGACCCTGGGCAGAGGGAAGAGGAAGAGCCCCAGGTGAGCTTGTATGCACATGGCCTGACTGGCTGTTCAGGGCAGGGGGTTAGGCCGGGACCCCTAGTCTCCCTGGACTCCCCTAGTCAGGGAGGTTTTTGATGGCTGTGGTTACACAGGACCACACACCCCTCAGTCACAGACCTTGGGCTGAGGATTGGGTGGTGACCTCAAGGATCCCATCTCTTGACTTCCATACATATGGGGCCTCCACCCAGATCCACATGCCTCCCAAATTCAGAATTTTAAGTCCAGGAACAGCTAGATTTTGGTCTCATGTAGAAAGTTTGGAAATATTAAAGAAATGTTTTAGTGTGTGTCTCATTTTGGGGGCTTGATCATAGCTAGCTGAGACTAAAATGGGGCTTGGGATGTATGAGCAGAAGTATGAGGGGCAGGCTGATGGAGGTGACTGCCTGTTAAGTGCTGTGCTGTCGTGATTGGATTCTGCAGTGTTCGATTCTGGCAAACTGCAGGCTCAGTGGACAGCCAGCTCGGGCAGGAGGCTGGGAATGTGTGCCAAAGAAGCAGTGAGGAGAACTGTTGATCTTCACCATGAGGATTTTTTTAACTTAATTGATCTTTTCTTCTTTGGCTTCTGGGTTTATTATTAAGATGTGTTGGAGAGAAAGGAAGTAGCGTTTATTGAAGTCCCTCTGGGAGCTGGCCCAGGGCATGCTCTGCATACACTGCCCCATAGCATCTGATACTTGTTCTGTGGATGGGAAGCAGAGGCTGGGAGTCTTGCCTCTGGGTGATGGGGAAGCAGATACCCAGGACCAATCTCTGTAGGTGTCCCAGGAAAAGAGACATCTGTTTACTATAGTAGACATTTCAACGAAGGAAGGGGTAGGAGGCATTCACATGGAAGTTGCACAAACAGACTTTGGGGGTCCTGGGAGCAGTGAGGGGGATCCTCTGTTGTCAGGGAGGCCAAACTGAGGACATCTGTGCTCCCTGCCATCATATCAAGTCCCTGAAAGTCTCCTTCTGTAGGGGGAGCTGGGTTGGCGAGCTGTGAGGGGCAGAGGGAGAGGTTAGTGCCCCCACCTCACAGGACTTTTCTTTCAGATGATTGAGTCCAACGACATTTCAGGGGAGAAGGTCAAGATGCAGGAGACTGTGCAGGGTGAGTGGCTGCTGGGCTGGGCAGGACCCTGGGCTTTCGGGAAAGGCTGGTTGGTTCTGCCTTCATGCTGGGTAGCATGTGTTTTGCATCATCTGCCATTTGGTGAGAGACACCTACTGTGTGCATGAGCTACTCACCCACCCTGAGTGAGGAGGGTGGCTGTTCAGTTTGTTAAGTGCCAAGCATTGTGCTAAGTACTGTGTTAGTTATTTGGTTTTAACTTTATTTTTTAAGTATGTATAAGCTTCAAATGGTTCAAAGAGCTTATAGCAAAGGATTCTCTCTTGCCGAAATTTCCTCCCTAAAGGCATAATGTTAGCCACCTTATCAGAGATGGTTTATACACATACAAGCACATGGGTAACACAGAGGTACCACATCTCCCACACAGTTCGGCCCCTTATTTTTTTCCATTTAATAATGTATCTTGGAGACTGTTCCTTATCACTACATTCTTTCACATGGTGCAGAAAATTCCACTGTTTGGAGCTACCATCGTGGATTTGGCCAGTTTCCTACTGATTGGATCACAGGTTGTTTCCAGTCTTTGGCTATTACAAACACTGCTGTGGTAAATTAACAACAAAATATTTCATCAAACTTTGTGATTTTTGCCAATCTGAACAGTAAAAGATGTTACCAGTGTAGCTTCAGCTTGCCCTTTTCTTATTGTGAATGAAGCTCCATTTACATTTCTACTTGTATCTTTTGCCCATTTTTTCTTGATCTTTTTGTTGATTTTTAGAAACTCTTTATATATGACATTGCAAACAATTCCCCCCCCCCCCTTTTTTTTTTCTTTTTTGCCTCTGACATTTCTTATGCTGGTGTTTATCTTGCAGATTTTGAAAACTCAATTTTCTTTGGCTTCTGGGTTTACTATTTTTTTTAATGTAGCCCATGGTTTCTTCTAGGACTTTTTTAGTTTCATTGTCTATGCTTAAAATCTCTGCTCCATCTTGAATTCATCCTTCTATAAGGTATTTTTTCCCAAGAGTATATTTACATTTTTTCCCAAAAGTATACCAGTACCATTTTTGAAAAACTCATTTCTCCATCTCCACTGATTTGAATTACTGATGTATCATTTTTAAATTCCCTTGCATAATTGACGCTTACTTCTGAGCTTTCTAGTCCATTTGAGTAACCTGTCTGTTCATTGGCCGGTTCTATAATGTTTCAATTATTCAACCTTTGTTTATATTTTAATTACTAGCAGAACTAGTCTTTCCTGCTCTGCTTATTCAAAATTCTCTCAGATATTTTTTTTTTTCACATTGGGGCAAAATTAACATAACATAAAATTAACCATTTTAAAGTGAACCATTTGGTAACACTTAGTATATTCACAGTTTTATGCAGCCACCACCTCTGTCTAGTGCCAAAACATTTTCATCTCCCCAAAAGGAAACCCCATACCCATTCTCAGTCACTTCCCACTCTCCCCTCCCCAGCCAGCCACTGGCAACCATTAGTCTGCTTTCTGTTTATATGGATTTGCTGATTCTACACATTTTCATATAAAGAGCATCATCTAATAGGTGGCTTTTTCTGTGTGGCTTCTTTTACTTAGCATAATATAGTGAAGGTTCTTCCATGGTGTAGCAGTGTCAGTGTGTCATTCCTGTTTAGGGCTGAGTAATAGTCCATCACATGCACATGCCACATTTTGTTTATCCATCCACCTGTGGATGACATCTGAGCTGTTTCCACATCTTTTGGCTGCTGAAAATATGCATGTTTGTAGTGTGCATGTACAGGTACTTGTCGAGTGCATCTTTGGGGTTTTTTGAGGTGTATATCCAGGAGTGGAAATTGCTAGGTCACATGGCAATTCTATGTTTAACTTTTTGAAGTTTTTGCCCAGCTCTCGTTTCTTCTTGCTTATTTTTCCACATGATTTTAGAATCAGCTTTAATTTTCTACAAAAATTAAAATCTTGTTGGCATTATGTTATATTGATAGGTTACTTTTGGAAAGTTAGTATGTTTCCAGCACTGCCCACGCATTATCGTTTTTATGACTGTTCGGAGGCCGTCAGTACTGAATATACAAGACATTGTGAAATGAGCACCTTTTTTATTATCCTAACTTCCCACTCAAGGAAGCTGACACTCTGAGATAAGTTGTCCAAGACTACACAATATTGCAGCCTTTTGTTCAGAGTGGGTTCCCCAGAGAGGGCTGGTGTGAGAAAGAATTTGGACCAATTTGGACCAATGAGCCCACGTGTAGCTCCGTTTTAGGGTTCCTGCAGGTTATCCCCTCGCCACTGACCTAGAACACTGATGGCCCTTTGTCTCTCCCTTCCCCTCCAGGCCTTCAGGACAAGCTGAACAAGAGGGACAAAGAGGTGACAGCCTTGATGTCCCAGACTGAGATGCTCAGGGCCCAAGTAAGTGGTAAGTCTCCCTTGCACAGGGCAGATGGGGGGCTTTCACTGGGGCCATGTGGCAGTCAGGTGTGGGGTGCACTGGCACCTGCGTAAGGGCACTCTCTCCATGCTGCCTTGAGGAGAGGCTGCTCTGGACTTCACCTGGGCTGCAGTGAGCAGGGAGCAGGAACCCATACATGCCCATCATATAATCGGGGCCCTGAGCTGGCTTCTTTCCCCAGAGCCAGTTCTGTGTTTCCTCAGCTCTGAAATTTCGTCACCAGTTCTGTCTCATCTTGAAGACTTTTTGGGTTTTCTAGGTCACTTTGACAGTGTATTGGCCCCCAGTCCCTAGAAGAAACACCAGGATTTCAGAACTGGAGGGACAGATGCTCGCAGCAGCAGAGAGCAAGACACAGGGGGAATGAGGGCAGAGGGGGAGCCTGGGGAGAGGCAGGGGTCTGGAACTTGGGACTTTGTGACAAACTGGCCCTGCTTCTTGTCCGCCAGAATGCCAGTGGTGGTGTCCATGAGACGACCCCCATCCTGGGAACCGGTTCCCACCCCCACTTCTCTCCAGTTCCCATCATGTTCACGTGGCATAATTGGTCCCGACAAAGGTCAGTTGGCCTCAAACTCCTTGGAGGCGAAGGTGAAGATTTAGCTTTTCCTTATCCAGGAGCAGTGTAGGCACAGGTCCCGCCTCGGGCAGGGTGGACTGCTTCCCCTGCCCCCTGGGCTGCTGTGCTGGGGGGCTCGGGTCTGCTGTTGTAGCTCTTCCCTCGGCCCCTGGCTGCCTGGTTCTGCAGGATGAGAGAGACGCGCTCCATGGAGTGTGTCACTATGACCCCTGGGAAAACAGGCTTCATGCCCAGGTTTGGCTCTCTGGTGGGACAGACTCCCATGGCCACCCTGCCGTCTCTTTGCTTTCCCTGCTGGCTGACCCTCAGCACTGGAGAGCAAGTGCAAGTCAGGAGAGAAGAAGGTGGACACCCTGCAGAAGGAGAAGCGGCACTTGGAGGCAGAGCTAGAGGCCGTGTCCCGGAAGACCCATGATGCCTCGGGCCAGCTGGTCCTCATCAGCCAGGAGCTGCTCAGGAAGGAGCGGTGAGTCAGCCGTGGGCTCTGTGGTCACGCTTGCTGGCTCTGCCCCTCACTTCACCTGACATTAGCCAGTCTTCCCCAGAGCAAGGGGGAAGGGCCACATCGTACAGGTGGTTGGCATGACCAATGATCGCCTAAGTGCTGATGAAGCCTCAGAATCCTTCTTAACACAAGAGAGTTATAGGAAACTCCCAGGAGAGATTATAGGAAAGATTAGTGGTTCCCAAACTTCTTGGTCTCAGGGGGCCCTTTTAAAAGATTTTTATAAGAGTTTTTTAAAAAACTATTAAAAGTTATTGGGGATTTCCAAAGACCTTTTGTTTATTTATTCTCCACTTATATTGTAAATTAAAACTGAGAATTTTTAAATAGCTATTAAGCCATTAAAAAGTAATAATTGCATGTAACATAAATAATATGCTTTGGGGAGAAAGTGTTTTCTAAAACAAACATGGTTTAGTCGGAACAATGGCATTGCTTCACATTTTTGCAGATTTCTTGAGTGTTGGGCTTAGTAGCAGACAGCGGGATTCTCCTCTCTTCCTCTGCATTCAATTGTTGCAGCTTGTTATTTTGGTTGAAGGATAATATGAGAACGTGGCCTTACAGAAATATGTAGTTGGAAAAGAGAGGAATGCTTTAAAACCTTTTCAGATAATTATTAATATGCCATGCAGTCACAGGAAAATTCATTTTACATTCATGAGAAATGACTGTGAAAAGTTCTGTGATTATTATGAAAATAGTTTTGACCTGTGGACCCCCTGGAAGGGTTTTAGAGACCCCTGAGGGGTCCCCAGACCATATTTTGAGAACCTCTGGGTTACAGTTGATGACATGGTTTGTGTGACCTATATGAGGCTTTGAAAAAAAACAGGCTAGCATTTAAAAACTGGGAGATTTGCTATAAAATCCAGATTTCTCCAGATTCCCTTAAGAAATTGGAAGATCTGACAACAGTAGGCTGACTTCCAGCCAGGCAACAAGCAGCTGTTGCTGGGGAACACCTGCCCCCTTTCGATGGGCATGGGCCCTCTGGGCCTCCTCAGTCCCCCACTTGCCTTCATTATTTCTCTCACACCTACTTTGTGGACATGATTCCCCAGCCCCTGTAAGCACTTGAGGTTCAACCCCTGAGTTAAAGGAATCTCATTACAGTATGAGTGTCTTTGTATAAAGGAAATGCTGTTCTTCCCCTCCCCTCTTGTAAGTGTGATACACATATTGGGAGTTACTCTGACATTCTCTGGAGAACACGGCCCAGCCCAGGAGGGAGTTAAACAGATGCAACAGGCTAATGGAAATATTCCCTCCCTAGCATGGGTGAACCAGCCCGCTGCCACCTAAGGGCTCCACTGCTGTCTTGCTCCGTATCCCCTCCCCCATCCAAGTTGGATAGTTTATCGTCTGTCTTCAGCCCAGTCTCACCTCCTCTGAGGAGTCTGTCTTTCTGCTACCAACAGGCTCATTCCTGCTTATGTCTCTCATCACTCATGAATTCCCCCTTCCCAGAATACCTTCTTTTTGGTCACTTTACCAAATCCAGTCCACTCTTTAAGGTTTTCCTCACAGCTCAGCTTTTCCTTACAGCCTTCTTTTGTTGGCATAGGCCACTCCGAGTCCCTCCATGTTCCTGTGGCACTCAGGAGGTCAGTGGGAGAGCAGCTAGGGATTTGTTGGCAGATTAAACTTGTAGAGATTTATTTTCCTCATGTAACAAGAAATCTGGAAGTAGCCATGGCTGGCAATTAGCTATGGCTCAGGAGACCAGTACCAACACATTTGTGTTTCCCTTGGACTCTTCCTCATGGTTGTAAGGTGGCTGCTGCAGCTCCAGCCGTCATCATATTTACAGCAGGGAGAAGGAGAACAGGGAAGGGGCAGTGCCAGCAGCTGACCGCTTGGTTCTCAGTTACCCATGGCTGCCTAGTCAAGGAGTTCTCCTTTCTTCTGTAGTAGATGTAGGCAAGAAAAAAGGCTTAGAAGGGGTGTGTCCTCTTTTTTCATCCTGTGCCCATGGAAGATAGTGCTAACTGATCACTGCCCTCTTTTCTGCAGAGCCCAAACACAGCCTCAGAATCATTCTCATCACAGTATCTCAGGGAGGCTACTGCCAGTTGATGAAGAGCTGACATGGGAAATTAAATCCATTTGACATGAGGCCTTTAGTGTTTTGCTGCATGGGCCTCTTGAATGAATGTTTTGTTTTGTTTAATTTTTAGTTAAACAAATACTGTATACTCTTTTTTAAAGCCTTTAAGACATTCCAGGAAAGGCCACATCCTCTTGACCATCCTATCCCCAAACCCTGGCCCCTCTGGGGCTGTAGTCAAGTTGTTCCATGCCTCATATTTCCACTCTGGCCCCTGCTGACATCTAGATGTCATCCTAACAGCCAGTGTCCCCTCAGGGTGGCAGTCCCCAGGCTCCTGGAGAATCGCTGGAGGGTGGGGACAGAGGGGCCAGGGCTGACCGTAATGCTTTGTGCCCCCGCCAGGAGCCTGAATGAACTTCGAGTGTTGCTGCTGGAGGCCAGTCGCCACTCCCCGGGGCCCGAGAGGGACCTGAGCCGTGAGGTTCACAAGGCCGAGTGGCGGATCAAGGAGCAAAAACTCAAGGATGACATCCGGGGCCTGCGTGAAAAGCTGACTGGGCTGGTACGTGGGGAAGGGGTGGCTGGGGATGGGGAATGCCAGGATGGGCTGGGCTGCCTGCTGTCAGGCCATGGGGACTGGTGACCTCCTGGAGCCACCCCCAGGGACAGCCACATCACAGAGAGGGTTCAAAACCCCCTAGAACCGCAAGCAGGGCCAGCAATGCAGCTGGCGGCCACAAGCAGCCCTTTGCAGGTATCGTGGCTGGCTTGGTGATGCTGTTCTAAGGAAGACTTCCTAGGAATCCAGCCCCTCCTGAGGTGGCGTGTGAGCTCCCCCGCCTGGGGACATAATCAGCCAGAAACCAGCTCCTCGTTTGGGGTCCTGCAGTGGGGATTCATGCATCAGTCTGAGGAAGGCGCCTTGAGAGCCTCCCCTAATCCTGAGGTTCTGGGAGTGAGACTCCTTTGCTGTCAGGAATAGGAATCTGGGGGAGCTGAGTCCTCAGAGGTGGGGCTGGGGGAGGTGGGAACACTGGTAGCCAGGACAAAACCTCCCACACCCCGTCCCCTGCAGTAGGCCCTGAGGACAAGCCCATGGCCACTTGCTGGGCCTGGTCACCTCAGGGATGTAGATGGGATGAGATCTGGGAGGACAGACCTGGGAGGCTGTTCCAAAGCCCCTCACTGCCCTCCAGCCCAGCCATATGGGCTTAGCTGTACTGGAGGTGATGGTCGAGGCCTCAGGCAGGAGGCAGGGACAAGACCTGCCGCAGCCTTGGGAGCAGGCCCTGGGCTTTCAGGGTTAAGGGATGAGGGGCATCACTCTGGCTACACACCCAGATTGTAGGTGTGCAGGCTGCTGGGCCCAGCCACCCTGTGGCCTTCCCAGTCCAGGCATGTCTGGCCAACGGGGCTAGTCCCAGGGCCTCTGTGTCCTGTCTGGGCTCACCGTGGGAGAAGACAAGGCCCAGGGGACTTGGGAGTGTTGATTCCGAGACTTTTCCAGAGCCATGGGGGTTGGCACTGACTCACCTCTGGGGGCACAGGCTGGTCTAAAGCACCCAAGGGCAGCCACTCCCTTGTCTCTGTGCACTGTCCCCAGTGTTGTGGGAGATCCGGGGAAGGGCTTTGTGGTTAGAAACTTCCAGAAGTGAAGAAGGTTGGGTGGAGAGGAAGCTTCAGATGGAGGGGCAGAGCAGAGCAGAAGGACCTAGAAGCCCCTGGCCAAAGGGCCGCTGTGGGGGGGCTTCAGCCACTGGTACTGAGTGTGCTGTTGGTCATGGGGAGGGAGGGTTCATTTGGGCCCGAGGGTAAGAGGTGGTGAGGTTGGGGGTCTGGGACTGAGGAGGAGGGACCCCCATAAAGTAGAGGGAGGGGGGTTGGAGGGCATACACAGGAAAAAGGGGGGCATGGATTTCAGCACTTGGAGAATGTGGAGCATCTGACAGGCTGGGAAGGCAGGCAGGGGACAAAGGAGATGCCTCGGTGGGAACCTCGGGTCGGGAGGAAGCCTGAAGTGACGTCTTGGAGGTGCTCAGGCCTGGCCCAGAGGTGAGGCGGGCCGGGGGAGTCTGTTGAGCAGAGGCCCCCCTGCCCCAGGCTCACCCTCACATCTTCCTCTCCTGCTGCTCCCAGGACAAGGAGAAGTCCCTGTCGGATCAGAGGCGCTACTCCCTCATCGACCCATCGGCACCCGAGCTCCTGCGGCTGCAGCACCAGCTGATGAGCACGGAGGACGCACTGCGGGACGCCCTGGACCAGGCTCAGCAGGTGGAGAAGCTCATGGAGGCCATGAGGAGCTGCCCCGACAAGGCCCAGGTGAGCGGGGGGCAGGGCTGGGCTGACCAGGTGGGGAGCCCCGAGGCAGGAGCATGGCCAGGGAAGCCTGGTCTGAATTCTGCCCGGGAGCAACATGGCTTCATCCCGCAGAGCTCAGACTAAAGGGGGAGATGCAGCCTTGCCCTGAGAACCTTGGTCTCCTTGGTCTCGGGGGGTCCTGGGATCCCCATTCTGAGGAGCTCTGGTCAGTTTGGAGCCTCAGGTGGTTCCTCAGGAAGACCTTGCCATCTAGTGGACAAACCGGAACTGCTGCTGCCTGGCGGGCCTGGCTCCCCATCTGCCCATGGCTCTTACAGGCCGTCAGCAATTCCACATCTGCAAACGGCATCCTCCAGCAAGACAAGACCCACAAACAAGGGGTGAGGGGTGCCTCGCCCCAGGGAGGCGCCCTGCCCCACCCACAGCCCTCCCGCACAGGCAGACTCCTCTGTAGGAAAAACTCTGAAAAGCCACCAAAAATACAAAGATTCCTTATGCAAGAGGCTTTACAATAGAGTCCCTCCTGGAGTGGGGACAGGGCAGTCAAGCTTAATTCAATTATCATCCTGCTCTTTTATTTGCTTCTCTTTTAAAAAACACTTTTATTATAATACATGCCTATGAGGAAACTTGGAAAGAAAAAACCCACAAATTTCATAAAGAAGGAAATACAAGTAGCCCTCCCAGCCAGTCGACCTTGGTTAGCTCTTCCTGAACCTTCCTGTGCGTGTGTGTGTGTGAGTGTGTCTGTTCACATACAGTCAACCCTCATTATTCACAGATTCTGTATTTGCAAATTTAACCTACTTGGTCAAATTTATAACCCCAAAATCAATCCTCAGGGCACTCTCATGGTCATTCATGGACATGAGCAGAAAAGAGAAAAATTTGCGTCAACGTGCACGTTCCCAGCTGCAGTTGGCCAAAGTGATGTTCGGCCTTCTTGTTTCAGCTTTCACACTGTAAACAAGCATCCTTTTCACAGTCCACAAGGTGCACATTTTTTTGCATTTCTATGCTTTGCTGTTTAAAATGACCCCGGAGCCCAGTGCTGAAGTGCCATCTACTTTTCCTAAGGGTGAGAAGGTTGTAGTGTGCCTGGTGGGGAAAATGCTGTAGAGAAGCTCCACAGAGGCAGGAGGTACAGTGCTGTTGTCCTTGAGATCAGGGTCAGTGAGTCAATAAACTGTACTAAATACGGTCGCAGGAAACAGAAGCACACATAAAGCATGGTTCCATATTCACCGCTTGATGGAAATGCCATGACCAGAGGTTCGCAGGAACCCGGCCCTGAATTTCCACTAGGAGTAGTGACTCATTATTCGCTAATTCAGCATTCATGTGACTGTGTAGTGCATATCTGCTGCAAATAACGGGATCATTAGATTTGTATGTTTATGTAGGTGTATGTGTATATACATTAACCTTTTACTTGGAAATAAATTCTAACTTACACAAAAGTTGCGAGAATAAAATAGTACCTAGAACATCATATGTCCTTTGCCACCATCACTTTTGTTAACATTTTGCCCATTTCCTCTAGTTTTGCTCTGTGTGTGGATGTGTGTGTAACAATACATGTAAGTTGTTTTCAGAGCCGTTTTGAGTATAATTAGATGGCCCTAAATACTTGAGTCCATATTTCCTAAGAAAAAGAACATGGTTTTACATAACCGCAGTGCAGTCATCAATGCAGCCAATGTAACATCTGTGTGAGGTTTTTATCTAATCACTCACCATGCTCACTTTCTTCGGTTGACCTGGGGGCTCCTTCCATGGCTCTTTCCCCCCAGTTCAGGATCCAGGCTGAGGGTTATTGCATTTAGTTGTTAATTACTGCAGTCAATAGTTTTAAGTCTTTAGTCTCCTTTAATCTGGGACATTTGCTCTATTTCTCTTCCATTTATGACACGACATTTTTGAAATACAGTCCCCCCTCCTTTTTTTAATAGAAGATTCCTCATTTTGGGGTTTGATGGTTCCTTGTGATTAGAGCCAGGTTATACCTTCCAGGCAGGAGCACCTTGTCTGTGTCGTGCCCTTCTCCCGACAACACGGCTGGGGGACATGATGTCCATCTGCCCTTCGTTCCTGATGCGAATTTTGATCACCAGGCCAAGGAGTCTGATTTCTCCACTGTATATAGTTACTGGTTTTTCCTAATGAGCAGTCTGTGGGGAGACTTTAAGACCACGTGAATCCGCTGCTTCTCCCTGAAGCTGCCCCCTGGACTGAGCATCTGTTGGTGACTCTCACCTGAGCCAGTCTTTGCTATGATGGTTGCAAAGTGGCACTTACATCATTTTAATAGAGTAGGTATCATACGGTATATGAATACTTTAAACATAAGCATTTTCTCTCCTCAAACAATCTCTGTAAATTCTGCGATTTATAGAATTGTGGGTGTAAAATTGGTTTTCTAGAACTTCATGGGCCAGAAGGGTGCTGTGATGCCTGTGATGGTCACGTCTTTGCTTGGCTGTTATGTTTTAAGGGAATGCTTGGTGGCCCCTACCCCAAAGTTTACCCCTGGCACCCAGGATTATAGGCACCCTCTTGGATCCCACATGCCAGCCTGACTGGGTGGGAGGAGCCCTGTGCCAGCTCTGTCTCTCTCTGTCCCTGGCCACAGCACTCTGAGTGACCTTGGGCAAGGGAGGCAGGAGCAGGGGAGGAAGCCCTCATCCTTCCAACTCGGACTGTGTATATACATTAACCTTTTACTTGGAAATAAATTCTTGAGTCCATACTTCCTAGGAAAAAGAACATGGTTTTACATAACCGCAGTGCAGTCATCAATGCAGCCAATGTAACATCCGTGTGAGGTTTTTATCTAATCACTCACCATGCTCACTTTCTTCGGTTGACCTGGGGGCTCCTTCCATGGCTCTTTCCCCCCAGTTCAGGAAAGAGATCCTGGCCATGGTGCTCACCTAGAGACAGGAGAAGCTTGGCCACACAATCTGCCAAGGGCCAGGCCCATGGGGGAGTGCAGGACCCTATGCCAGACCTGCATGCAGGGCAGCAGGGGAGGTGGCAAGGTTGTGTGTGCCAAGCAGCCACCATACATGAGGTGCACCCCCCCAACCGGGACCTGATGTCTATAACTTTTGTGGCTTTGTCCTCCCAGCAACCCTGTGAGGTATATGGGGTCATCCCAGTTACACACTTGAAAACTCAGGCTGAGAGCCTCAGCTCTGGTTCTCATTTCCTCCTACCCAGTCCCCCACACAGGCGCTCAGTGCCTTTGTAAAACCCATCGGCTCTTGCCTCTTTCCCTCAACTTCCCCTAAAGTGCTCCTTCCCTCATGTCTCACCATGGCCCAAACACACAGCAAAGAGACTCTTCCTGCCCCAGGGCCTTGGCACATACTACTCCCCCAGGTGTCCCACCCCACTTCCTGCCTGACCCCTCACATCCCAGTTACACACTTGAAAACTCAGGCTGAGAGCCTCAGCTCTGGTTCTCATTTCCTCCTACCCAGTCCCCCACACAGGCGCTCAGTGCCTTTGTAAAACCCATCGGCTCTTGCCTCTTTCCCTCAACTTCCCCTAAAGTGCTCCTTCCCTCATGTCTCACCATGGCCCAAACACACAGCAAAGAGACTCTTCCTGCCCCAGGGCCTTGGCACATACTACTCCCCCAGGTGTCCCACCCCACTTCCTGCCTGACCCCTCCCTGCCACTTTCAGAAGCTCCTGCTGATCAATCTCTTGCTCTCTCCAGGAAAAGCACTGACCCCGGAGCAGTCCCATCCACACCAGCACCCCTCCGGCTTGCCCCGGCAGCGCCCCCTCAGGCAGGGGTCAGGACTGTCACTTTGGAGACCACAGTGTTTGTAACAATGATGTACCCACTGCCGCGGACAATCCCCCGCCCAGACCCCCTGCCGGACCAGGAGGCTTCCTCAAGCACTACCTCCCACAGAGAGGGCTACAGTCCTAGCCTGGCCCTGGGGCCTTCAGCTGGGACACCCTGGACTCCCAGCAGTTTCTGGAGTTTGTTCTGGGAGGTGGGGTAACCTGGCCAGGCCCTTGAGCTGTCTGAGGACCATCTTGGTATCATGGACATGTCCCTGCTGGGCCTTTCTTCCCCTCCTTCTCCTGGGTCCCCCTCAGACCCAGAGAATCATTGTCCTGGGAAAGGGTCACAGGAGGCCCAGCTTCATGCAGGTACTGAGGAGGGAAGTCCAGCCCTCAGGAGCCAAGTGGGGACCCCCTTCTCTGCAGCCACTTCCAGGCCAAGGCTGTCCCCAGGGCTCTTTGTCCCCATATACTGAGCCTCCTTCAAATAGTAGTACAGGTTCCCTTCAGTCTGTCTGCTCAGCTAAGTTCAAGGTGTTGGGGGGCGAAGTCCTTCTTCCCCCACAGCCCCCAACACCAACACACACACACAGCTCCAAGCTGCTGGCCACAGAGTGGTCACCAAGGCCAGAAGCCGCAGTATTAGGAAATTTGGGAGCCCCTCTCCTCACCGCGAACACTGACCTGGCTTGGAGCTGGGGTCGGGTGGCCCAGGGAAGCCCAGAGCTAGGGCTTTAGGCATGTCTTGGCTGGTCAGTAATATGGTGACCCTGGGCTGACTGGGTGTTCCAGAACTGGCCTCCCACCTGCAGATGTGCCCGCGAAGCTCTGACATAGGCATCCACAGACCCTTGACACATGCACACTCAGGGGTCATGTGTGCACACACGGCCACGTGGGGAATGCATTTGCAGCCAGCCACACTCAGGACACACCGAAGCTCACACTTGGGTCCCAGGACTGAGCCCCAGGCCTGCCAGGTACACATGGGCAGCCTAGCTGTGCACATACCCAGGTAGACGTGGGTGAGTGTTGAGGAATGTGTGTGCTGTGCACACCCGTCAGAATGCACATGTACCAACAGGTCCCTTTTGGTCTCACCAGGCATCTGCCCAGAGCTTTTTAAGCCCCACCGATTTCCTGTAGCCAGGAAAAGCCCCCAAGGGTTGTTGGCAGCAAGAAAAACCTATGTGTCTCTCCCCCTTCCTCTCAAGCCCTCCTGAGTTACTCCAGGCCTGTGTGTGGCAGGAGAGCCAGCACTGGCCCAGCAGCCCCCACCTCTAGAGCTGGAGGGCTGGAAGGTTACTGCCCTGTGCCCAGCACCACCACAGAGGGTGGCCTCCACTTGGAGCCTCCCCTGCCAGGGATGAAGGGGGCACCTGATGCCCAATCGTGGTGCTCTGATGGACACCAGGACCAGTATGCAGTCCATGCCCTGGGGGCAGCCAGTCAGCCTCACCGCCCCCTCCCCTCTCCCCAGTGGCTTTCGGTAGCTCTCGCATGTGGTTTTATTAACAGCAGTCTAGAAGCCATGATTTAGTGGCCTAATGCAGAGTCAAATGCTACTCTTTCCAGCAAGATCAGGCAGCTTGCCCGCCCACAGGGGAGGCACTGATTCATCTACTAACAGCCAAAGGCCCACATGAGGGGTGACTGAGCCCCAGGGTGGGCTTGCAGGGGGCCGTGGCAGGGAAGCTCTATCCTTGTGAGCAGGTCTGCCTACCCCATGTGGGCTCAGTCATGTCCCCATCCCAAGTCCTCCCGCGCCCTTCCTCTCCCCAAAGTGGAATTGTTGAAGTGTGGCCAGTCTGTGCTCGAGACAATAAAGCTTGTGACTGAGGTCCAGGACCCCTGTAGTTGTCTGCTTCTTTCTGTGGGCATCCTGGGCTCCCAGATTGCAAGCATCTCGGTGCCAGGAGTTGGTCTCAATCCCATTTCACATGGGCGCCAGCTAATTCCTACTCATCAAAGTCCAGGGCTGAGCTGCATTGCCCACGCAGAGGGCATTCAGTGGGAACAGGTAGAAAACCAGAGATGGGGCAGTGGAGGGGGTGGGACGGTGGAGGCATTTGCATCTGGATCTGTTAGAGGTGTGAGTGGGCCCACCGGAGAAAACGGAAGATCTCCCCAATGCACAAAGTAGTGACAGACCAGCTCACATAAGTTTGATGAGTCCGGTGAGAACACAGCATGTCGGGCAGCTGATGCTGTCTCCTGTGGCAAGCTTTCTGTAGATCAAATAAACAGTCAACGTTTTGCAAGCTTTGTGGTCATTTTACAGGCTTTGCAGTTGAGGTTGCTTCCCTGGGAGACTGAACAAGGGAATGGAGGTTAACACTGAATGTGTCTGGAAGCTTCATGCCCTTTCTCAGGCGCTGTGTCAGCAGAGGCCTGGAGGAAGCAGTGGGCACACCCAGGGGCGAGCAAGAGTTTAGGAAAGGGCTGTGTGCACCGGTGTGGACAGGGTTAAGGGAATGCACAGGGGACTCTGGGAAGCCACTGCTACCCCCAAGGGCAAAACGATCGAACCAGGCAGAAGCAGCAGTGGTGAGAGGCCCCCAGCAGGTGGAGTGGTCCAGCAGAGAAGGAACTGAAGTAAACAGCCCACCTCGCTCCTGCAGCCCCCGCATTGGCTGAATCCAACCCGAAGTCAAGGCCAAGGAGCCTGCCGGAGGACCAGGGGGCATACAGACCAGCCCTCGGGGCACAGCCAGAATGCAGGGGTGTGCAGAGTGGGTCTGAGGGGTGGGGAGATATGGAGAGCAATCAACACAGTGTCCATCACAAGACAGATCCGGGATAGGCGCAAACAGCACCTATTCTCTGGGCATCTGCTGCCTCATATAAATGTCCTCTGTCCTTTCCAGAACTTTCCAGCCCAGCATATTGAAATTCAAAGAGCTACTACAGATAAGATTCTTTCCTCTCAAGGCTTAGCCAGCACCACGTGGTTTCTGCTTTCTTTCTACGTCACCTCAGGCACTAGCTTAGCCCAGTCTCTCCACTGACAGGCTGGATGGAGGGACCACCCAGGAAGAGCATCCCTGGGGTGCAGCCTTGCCCACCACCCTCCAGGTATGTGGGCTGCACCATTACTCCTCTTACTGAGCCTCAGTTTCCTCATCTGTGAAGTGGAGAAAATAAAACCAATCTCATCCCCTTGTGGGTCTCAGTGAGACCCCGAAGGAGAGCTCAGTTAAAGGCTCCACTCGGTTGTTTCTTCCATTGGCCCAGTCTAGGGGGGAGTTGCTCCTTCTCCATCTGCAGGTCCCTGGGGGCCCTACCCCCACCCCCGCTTGGTGGGCCCCTTGGCCGTTGAGTTTAGGGGCCAGCAGATTGCTCACACAGTACAAAGGAGCCCCGAAAACTCAGCACAGCCACAGGCACCCCTGAGTTGAAGCTGCAGGAGCAGCAGCCTCTGTGCCCGGCCTGGTCAGGGGTATACAGGGCAGGGTGATGGGAACTCTAGACCAGGCCTGTGCTGATTTGCTGACCTTTCTTTTCAAACCTATGCATTTTGAGATAATTCTAGACTTAGAGAAGAATTGCAAGAGTAGTAGGATTCCCAGTATGTCCTTCCCCAGCTTCCCCTCCCGAACCCCTCTTGCCCACCTGCAGGACGATGCTGGAAACTAGAACATTGACATTAGCAGGAGACTATTGACTGCAGGACAGACTTTATTCTGGTTTCACCTGTTTTTCCTCTAACGCCCTCTTTCTGTCCCAGGATCCTGCCAATGATCCCATGTGCATTTATCAGACACGTCATGTCTCCTTAATCTCTGATCTGCCATCATTTCTCAGACTTTCCTGGTCTTTCGTAACCCTGACACATTTGAAGAGCACTGGATAGTTATTTTCTCCAATGCCTCTCAGTTTGGGTTGGTCTGATGTTTTCTCATGATTAGATTGAGCACAGAGATGCTGTCCTTTCTGCACCAAGTCAGGAGGCACCTCGTTATGTCCTTTTACGTGTGATGCTCACCCTGATCGCTTGATTAGGGTGATGTACACCAGGGTTCTCCACAGCAAGTTACTCCTTTTCCCTTTGTAATTCACAGCTATTTTGGAGGAGATACCCTGGTATTATGCATATACCTGGTTTCTCGTTAAACTTTCCCCACTGATCTTTGCATCCATCCTTATATCTTGCCTGTGGCAATTATTACGGTGAAATTCAAATAGGGATTTTATAATTCTTTCACTCTCTCTCTTTATGCACTGGAATTTTTCTGTAAGGAAGAGTAGTCTCTTCTCCCTCATTAACTTATTTCCCAGGTATTTCTTTATATCACTATGGGTCACGGGTATTTATTTTACACTTCGTGTTATTTTGCAGTACTATTTCTCTTTACTTTGTTGTTCAAGTTCTACCCTGATCACCGTGAGCACTTTCAGTTGGCTGCCCTTTCACCTTGACATACCTCTACCCTTCTGTGTTTTAAGCACTTCCTTATTCCTACAACATGCTCCAAGCTCATCTTGTATATTCCCTGCTGCAGCCCTGGAATTAGCCGCTGAGACATGAGCCTAAAGCACAAGCAACCAAAAGGGGAAAAATAGATTAAGTGAACTTCATCAAAATATAAAATTTTTTGCATCAAAGGATACTCACCAAATGTGGGAAGATGTTTGCAAATCATATATCTGATAAAAGATCTAGTACCCAAAATATATAAGAAACTCTTACAACTCAACAATAAAAAGACAACCCAGTGAAAAAATAGGCAAAGGATCTGAATAGACATTTTCCAGAGAAGATCCATAAATGTCCAATAAGCACATGAAAAAATGCTCAGCATCACTAGTCATTAGGGAAATGCACATCAAAGCCTCAGTGAGATACCACTTCACACCTACCAGAAGGGCTAAAATAAAATGACAGACACTATTAAGTTTTGACAAGGATGTGAAGAAGTTGGAACTCTCATACATGTAAAATGGTCCAGCCACTTTGGAAAATGGTTTGGCAGTTCCTCAAAATGTGAAACAGAGTTACCGTATGGCCCAGCAATTTTACTCCTAAGTATATACCCAAGATAACTTTAAATATGTGCACACAAAAACTTGTACACAAATGTTCCTAGTGGCATTATTCATAACAACCAAACAGTGGAAACAACATGAATGTCCATCAACTGATGAATGGATAAACAAAATGCAGAGATCCACACAACGGAATATTATTTGGCCATCGAAAGGAGTGATGTACTGATACACGCTACAGTGTGGATAAACCTCCAAAATGTTATGCTAAGTGAAAGAAGCCAGAAACAAATGGTCATATATTGTATGATTCCATTTATATGAAATGCCAAGAATAGGTAAATACACAGAGACAGAAAACAGCCTGCTGGTTGTTGGGGGAAGGTCTCATTCTAAGGGGGAGAGAGAATGAGGAGCAATGGCTTAATGGATATGAGGCTTATTTCAGAGTGATGGAAATTTCTTAGAACTGCATAGAGCTGGGGAATGTACTGAATGCCACTGGGTGCCTCTTTGAAATAATTTCATGTTAATGAAATTTTCACCTCATTTAAAAAAATTTTCCATTATAATTATCACATTTCCACATGGGAGGAGTATGAGTTGTTAATATTACCATCAAACTGTATTAGGCGTCTTCATTAAATAATGATGTGTGATCATCAGATATTTTTATTTGTTCAGTTAATTTCAGGGGAAAAAATCAACTGGTGCAATTAATCGTTTAATAGAAAAAAAATACCAAGAACCGTTTCAGCAACTGCACTAGATTTGGGCTTGGCAGGGGATAAATTTTTAAAAATTTCAATTGTGGTAAAAACATAACATAAAACTGACCATCCTAACCATTTTAAAATGTACGGTTCAGTAGCGTTAAGTATATTCATACCGTTTTGCCACAAATCTCTAGAATGTTTTTATCTCGCAAAACTGAAACTGTGTACTCACTAAACACATGCACCCCCTGCCCCTGCCACCCACCATCCACTCTCTGTCTGACTCTGATTGCTCCGGATACCTCATGCAGGTGGGGTCATGCGGTATCTGTCCTTTTGTGACTGGCTTAATTCACTCGTCATCATGTCCTCACGTTCATCCATTTTGTAGCACGTATCAGAACTGCCTTCTTTTTTTAAGGCTGAATGATGTCCAGTTGTCTGTATATATCATTTTTGTTTCTTTTTTTTAAATTTTTATTTGCCACTATCTTTTATTTTTTTTGGACCCAGCTTTAGTGAGATATAATTGACAAATAAAAAATTAAATTTAAGGTGTATAATGTGGCATTTCGATACACAAATGCACTGTGAAATGATCTCCACAATCAAGCTAATTAACATTCATCCTCTCAGGGGCTTTTTTGTTTGGCGAAAATACTTAAGATCTTAGCAAATTATAGGCACACAGTACAGTCTTATTAACTATAGTCACTGTGCTGTATGTTAGGTTGCCGTGACTGAATCTGTTGGATGTCACTTGATTTAATTTATCAGGATAATTTCACAATATATGTGTGTATCAAATCATCGTGGTGTTAAATTTACAAATGTCATTTATATTTCAATATAGCTGGAAAATAAAAGCAGAATGTTCCTTTTTGGAAAAAATTTTACTCAAGTTACTTAAGTTACAAGAGAGCTAGGGAGCAAGTGGGGGCTGGCACGGGGCTGGTGTCAGCAGACTCGGCCTGGCTTTGCATCCATGGCTGTGGGCCTGCTGTGGCGTCTGGCGATCGTGGGCAGCAGTGAGGACCTTCAAGCCTGATTCTCCTGAGGAGCAAGGCTCTGGGGCCCCCCTGCCCCGCCTCCATTTGGCTCCAGTTCTGTCTCAGCAATAAGGGTATCCGGGGGCCAGTGAAGAAGGCTTTCACAGTGTCATTATCTGGAGTTACCACTAGATCCCTCCCCCTTCACCATTACTCAGATGTCTGAGGCTCGTGAAAATGGTAGAACTGTCCTGACCACACTTGAGTGTACGGGCAGTGGAAATAAACACAAGGATGTCTTGTAGATTTTCTGGGAGAATATTGTGTAAAGGAGGAGCTTCCTCTGGGTATTTTTCTGCTGTTCAGGTAGAAGAACCCCCTCAGCCTGGTGCTGATCTTTACTTCAGAGTTGGCTGTGCAAGAAAAATAAAATGAAATAGCAGATGAAATAAAAACCAGAAGGAACACAGGAAACAAAACAGGAAAGAAAGGGGAGCGGAGAGGCAATTATTTCACGTTGTTCCCTTTACAAGTGAGTTTCTGAAGTTAGAAGATTAAGCTGGATGCAGG